TTTATATATTTTTTAAAGAATACAAAGTAATAATTCAGTTTTGGATTATACCTATTCCTCTAATATTTTATAATTTTGCACTTCAATATCTTATATCTAAAAATTTAAATGGTTTGAAACCATATAAATCAGAATTAATAGACTTTATCTCACTTATAATAATTTTTATTTGTTATATTATAGTAAAATATTGTTTTAAAAATAGTTTCTTATTATTTATCGAAAAACATCTAGTATTATTATTATTATTTTTAGGCACAAACACTTTAATATTTTCTAATGTTGATAAGATCACCAAATTCATCTCTATCGTTTTAGGTTACATTGCGATTATTGGATATTTTTCAACGAAATTTTTTAAAAAGCTTTTCTCGAAAGAAAGTAAACATAGAACATTCATATTGTTAATGGTAACTGTATATTATGTTTTCAAAGACATGATATTTATTCCATCGATGATTATGTATGTTTTATATACAGAAAGTCACTTTCAAAAACTAAAACACTTTATACGAGTTTTAGATATAATCTTAATAATTATTACTTTGTTAAGGAAAATTTTCCAAAAATTGTTCAAAATTAGTGAACCGAGATATATCGATATTATGTCTGAAGATATTTTGAATGCACCAATTAAGAAATCTGGAGTTGACAACATATATGCAATAATAATTACAATAATATTAGTCATGCTTCTTGTTGTTAATCGAATCAAACCTAGAAAACCGACTCTTTTATTCTTAATTCCATTTCCCTATTACGCTTCATATTCATATTCATATACTAAACTTTCTGGCTGGACTAAATGGCTTTTTGATTTTTTAATACCACAATCCAATCCTTTTGTCGAAGCAAATAATATTGAATTTTATAAAACTTGGAACGGCAAAGCTTTAATTAATTTTAAATGGAGAATATATGGAGCATTTTATTATTTAATTATTTGGTTATTATATACCTTCTTTCTTATTTCTTTTATATTAGCTTCAATAGTTGATGAAGAGATTAGAAATAGCATATTAATAGCGTCCATATGTTTTGGCTGCTTTCATCTTTTATTTGTAATTCGTCGATTTATATGGAATCCTTATAGATGGTTACAAAATTTTTGGAATTTTATTGGTATGCATAAATTATTATTTTTACTCTTTAATCACTTAAAAAACAAACAAATATTTATTTTATATGAAATTTTAGAATTAGGCGCTTATATATTACCTACGTGGACATCAATTCTTTGGTACCAAAAAGGAGAAATTAATACTCCATTAGTATCAATTTCATGTCTTATACTTGAAATGA